TATATTCAATCAATTATTTACTTCATCAAGATTTTTTTGATATTTATTTACTTCTTCATCAAATGCACCTAATGATGGATTTTTAGCAAAGAATTTTTCACAGACTGCCAACTAAAACAAAAAAAAAATATCAATAAAATCATTAATTATTATACAATTCTATTTGTTTTTATACTTTATCTGTACGCCATAAATGTTTAAAATTACGAAATTTAAGTAAAAATTTCTTCATATTGTTAATTGTATTTTGTACAACACCTTGTGTTGCTGCAGCTATTTCATGTATTTCTGGAATATATCGAATATCATCATAAAATGAATATATATGTTGAGCTTCTTGATTTGATGATGATGTTGTAATTGTTGTTTTTGCACCAGTAGGCATTATTCCTGATGCTGTATCGAAATCTAAAGCTCCATGACCATTTACTACATTGATTGCACCTACTGATTTGTCATATTTAACTGGACCTACTTCAATACATGAACCATCTTTCCATCGATAAAAATAGCTTGTACTAAATTGAAAAAAAAAACCAATGACAATTATTGATAATTAACAAGATAACAATTCTTTTTTTCGCAGCTAAAAATATCGATGCTTTTACAAGTCTATACACTGAAAATATTCTTTTTTCGAGATTCTCAATTGAACAAATATAACAATTAGAACTTGTTAAGTTTCTTTGGAAAAATTTTCAAGTTTATGCACTAGAATTCCTTCGATAAAGTCTATCTTACAGAGATGTGCACCATCTGCGCTATTTGTAGAGGTGTAAGTCGGTACATTGATTAGCGGTGGCTGAAATTTTTCGATAGATTTTTAAAAACTTTCTTAATTTCAAAAAATTTCGAAATGAAAAACAAGTGGTAGAGAATCTAATGACAAGAAACCAAACAGTAGAATCTCTAAAAACCGATTTACATCTCTAGCTGTGTGCGAATGCCGCCTACACTCTAACAGTAAGTATGACTCAGTTCTCGGCAACCATATTGTCTAAGAAATTTTTGAAAGGCAGCCATTCTACGCTTAACTGCCTTCTGATATATCCGCCAGTCGGTCAAGCCTTTGTCATACGAATTGCTAAATTCGTTATTTATGAGATATCGGTATAGTACATCTACCTAACTCAAAACTTAGGGAATTTCACTATGACGATTGTAATATTTAAATGTGTGTACATTTAATTATAAAATATAGGTTAAGACCGAAACAAGCATCCAATAAGTGTTTGTATAATTACGTTTGGTCAAATTTCTTTCTTAATTAAATATTTTTTTTTCATGGTATTTTCAACTTTATATTGTTGTTCATACGCGATTGTTCAAAAATGGGACACTATTTTTCAAGAAATATAACAAGGCCACAAATATGAGAAAAAAAAAACTTGGCGAAAAATGGCATTGGGCGTGATCGCGCAGCTTCTGTCTTGTTTTTTCTTACACTCAATGCATATCTCCAATATGTTATTCCAAGATATTAGATATTTTGAACAGAATTAAGAAGTGTACTCGAATAGGAACATCAAATCATAAAAATTTCATCTTATCTAAATATTTTGAAAAATATTCGAAGTGGTTTCATTTCAGAAAAAAAATTTATAATGTTGTTCTTTCAAATAAAATATCACTCGATTGAAAGATTTTAAACACAAGAATATTTTCAATTGAACAATCTCTATGAAATCTAAACTGATATTACTTTTCAAATGTATTTATACTGCATGTTTTATAACACCACAGTTTTCTTTTTTGTTTTTTTTTTGTATCAAAGATTTAGTTCATCGATTGAAATTGATTGTTATGAAATTAACTAATAAGAAAAAAAATATACTCATTCTCGGATTATATTGTTCGATAAAATTTTCTTGCTAGAAAAAAAAACCTGAAATAAAACATAACCTATCTTATCCTTAACAATAATCTTAAATTTTCATTAATATAATATGTATCCTATAAATAATAACAATGTCGATTCATATGACAAAAGAATTTTAGAAGAGTGAAAGAAAAAAAAAAAACACCACTAAATTAATAAAATAAAAATGCTTAAAACGAATGCAGTTTTCTTTACAATCATAAATAGTATCAGACTAATGCATATATCAATGGCAGAAACGTATCACCGAAAAACCAAAAGTAAAACTACTGGTGGTATAAAAAGGAAAATAAACAAAACGTTCTTCTTTTTCTTTTGTTTTTATATTATCATTTTAATGATAATACTTTCGCACATGAATCTTCATAAGCAACAGCGTCACGCATTTGTAATGCTTTCGTACGTAATTTTGTTAAATATTGTTGTTGTTTTTCAATAAGATGAAGTAATTGTTTAGCATAATCTTCTCGATCATAATTCATTTTTGTTGATGCATCAAGTAATAATTGATGATTGGAAACTATTTGTGGTAAATCATCCATAAGTTGATGATGAGTTTCTAATGTTACATCTTCAATTTCATGTGAACGTGCAATAGCTTGTTCAAATTTACGTTTTAAATGTTGATTTTCTAATGGACGTTTATTACTATTTGTTTGTTGTTGTTGTTGAGGTTTTCGTACATTTGAACGTGATGATGCTAATGGTTGAGATAGTGATTCATTAAAACGTTCATCATCATCATCATCGTCATCATCATCTTGAGATAATTGAAGATCATATGGTTCATTTAAAATTTGTTTTTGATGAATTTCAACACCACGTTGTATAAGTTCATCAACATTTAATTCTTTTACACGATCAGCATAACGTAATGTATTTAATGTATGTTCAACATCACTACTTCCCGGTGATATCATTGCTATCATACAAACTTTAGATTTTTCACCAATAAATGAATCACGTAAAACTTTTGTTAATGTTGAACCTCGAAATGGTATATGTTCAGCATTACGACCTAATGAACGTATACATTCTTTTAATGTTAATAATGATTTATTTATTTGTGCACCTTCCATTAATGTAGTTTTATCATTTGTTTGTGTATCACGTCCACGTTCACTTCCAGCTAAATCAATTAATGAAATTTTTCCATATTCTTTATTGATATTCTTTTTTTTTAATGATATTTGAAAAATAGCATGTGATCGTGATGAATGTTCATTAGCTGATGTTGTACCAGATGTACGTACACTCATTCCACGTCGTATTAATGACATAACTTCATTAACTGTTTGAACTTGTTCTTCTTTTCTACCAACAACTTGAACTAAATTTTTATGATCTTCTAATACACGTAAACGTTTTTTATCATTAAATAAATCAAACACTTTAGTACAATAGATTTCAAAAAATGTACAATAAACATCATATTGACCTTTATTTGAAGGTTTATTTAAATTAAGAAATATATCATTGGCTGTTAAAGCATATATTCCTTTAGAAAAATCAACATCACGTTGACTTAAATCACCACCCATTGTATATGTTTTACCTAAAACAAAATATAAATAGATTGATTTTTTGTCTTATTTATTTTAAACTTACCAGAACCAGTTTGTCCATAAGCAAAAACCATTGGATTATGTCCTTGAAATAATAATTGTACTAAAGGTTTGGCAGTAAAATGATAAACAAGTTCATTATTACATATTTCACGAAATGTATAATCAAAACGAAATCTTTGATTATCAATATATTTTGTTAAATCAACTTTAACTTTTGGTAAATGTACAATAACATGATCTTTATTTGGTATTGTTAATACATCAATATCTTTTTTATTTAATTCTTTTTTTGTTATTGGTCGTTTACGTACACAAACACATATTTTTAAATCTTTTTGTGGATCATTTATAGTTAAAGATTTTATATCAAGTTGTTGTCTATATTCAGTAATCATTGCTTGAAATTCCCATGCTGGTATTGAATGATCAACTTCAGATAATTTTTGACGACGTTGTTCTTGTCTAACTCGTCGTTGTTCACGATTTGCTGCTATACGTTCAATTTCTTTAACTACTTTTGATTTATTTGTATCATTTGTTATTGATGTATATAAATTTTGTTGTCTATTAGGTGATAAATCATTATTATAATGTAATGTTTGTGTATTTGATATTCCTCCAGGTCGTGAAAATGAATTTGGTTGTGGTTGTTTTCGAAGATTTTCACGATCTTGTCGTGTACGACGATTTAAATTTATTGTCATATTATCATTTACATGATGATCATGACGTGTATTATTATTAATAGCATCATTATATGATGACGCATTTGTAATTGATGTAAATAAATTTGGATTTAATTCAATAATAGCATCTAAATCAACTTCTTTTCCTTTACCTTCAGTTTTTTCTTCCCATTCAACAGTAACAGTTTTTGCTGAATGATTAACTTTGATTATATTAGCTTGATGAATACGACCATTTGATCTTTGTATATCAATTTTTTGACCAGGATGAAGACAAGAAAGTAATTTTTGTTGATTGAAATTCATTTGAATAGTAATTGTTTCCTTTTGTTTTGTTTTATTTTATTTTAAATACATTAAATTGAATCTTTAATTGAGTGGAAACAAACAAAAAGAAAAACCTAATTGTTGTTTATTACTGTCGTTAGACAGAACAAACTTTTATTTTCTCTTCACTATGACTTCAACTTCAACATTTTTTCTTTGTTTTTATAGTTCTTTTTTTTTTTTCTTTTTTATTCTCTATCGTTAAACACGAACGCAACGGAGCAACTCTTAACTATATATATATAAATATGGATGAGATGAGAACGTTTGTTCATATTTTATCGATGAGGAGGCGTTGCTTAGTGATTGTATATAATGTCAAAAACATGTAAAGACGACAACGAGAGAAAAAGTAAGAAAACGAAAGAAAGAGTCAACGAGGACAACTATCAACAAATTCATCATGAAGAAAATAATAACAACTAACATGAGTAGGTGTGTTTTTAAAAAAAAATGGTATATTACATGCCTTAAAATACGATTATCATCTATCTTATAAATAATTTTCTATACAATGTTTTATAAAAATAAATTTCAGACTTACACTTCAACACAATCTCGCATTGATTGACTAAATAATTTAATAATTTCATTTTGATTTGGTTGCATAGCTACAGCCGGTACAACAAGTAAAGCATCAACTTGAAATAACGGTTTAGAACCATTTGCTAATGTATCACGTAATGATTTTAAGTTTTCTATAACAAGCTAATAGAAAAAACAAGAGAAAAAAAAAACATATTGTTAATTAATAGAAAAATAAAATTTTTGTTTTTTTTTTTTTTTGTTCTGATCATTTACATCGGATAAAGCTGAAAATATTTGTCTTTCCCAATAAGCATAATAAGCTTTCATTTTAGGTGATTGAGATGTATTTGTATTAAAAACAAGTCCTTCTACTTTTGCTATTAATGGACCAATGAGTTTATATTTTTTCTGTAATTCAATTGCATCATGTCGTCGACGACTTTCAACAATTTCAAAATATTCCTAAAGAATAATATCAAATTTTTAAGAATAAGAACAAAAAAAATAAATAAATGTTTTAATTACTTTACAATGTACCAATGAACCATCAGGATTAGGTGGTGGTTCACGAAAAAGATTACATTGACGAATTTCATCAAGAAAGACATGAATATCTTGTGCATTCTTTTTTATTTGATTTATTGTTGAATCAAGTTTGGAAATAAGCTAATAAAAAAAAAATAAACACAAAAATATATTTTATCGGTTTTTTTTTTCATAAAATTTACTTCAGATATGACTGTAATAAATTTTTCATGATTTGTTGATGTCCATGGTAAACGTTGAGTTCCTGTTTGCATATGACGTTTTAATTGTCGTAAATTTTCTTCGAGTAATGATTGTTCATGAGGTTCAAGTGAATCAATAAGACGATGATAATTTTTAAGAACAATTTTTAATTGTGTTGATAATAGTTTCATTTTTTCTTCCTATTCAAACAAAATTTTATTAGATATGTCAGTAAAAAAAAAAAGAATTAAAATTTGATTGTGATAATACCATCCGTCCCTCTTCCGTAATAAAAAGCCATGGACTTCTATTGTAGACTAAATTTTATGTAGAAAACTAAGAACTTTTGAATAAATGTTTCTGGTATTCAAACAGATGTCTTTGAGAAATTATTAACCATTTCAAAAGAGAATGTGCGCAATTGTTTTTTGAATAAATTTTGATAAGAATGTCATACAGATCTACAGCTTTCAGCGTTCAAGAGAAAACCTGAGATCATCGAAACGTATATCTTCTGTTTTCATGAACAAAAATTTTAATAAAGTTTGTGTGATACTAAAAGAATATAATTTTATACACATATTTTAAGTCTAACGAGGAATCTTAGAGATTTGCAGAGTTATGTGTTTGTTTTTTTTTGACTTCGACTGCTAAAAACTTTCTTTGAGTAATTCCGATGCAGAATAATGAAATTAATGATCAATGTTATTTTATATCAACATTTGAACTCAATAAAAATAAAATTGATTCTCATCATTGAAAGTGTTAGAAGCTAAACACGATAAATAAAAAATCTTCTTTTTGTTTTTTTCGAATATGTTCGATAAAAATAGACTTAAATTTAATAATATCGTTCAAATTTTTAAATTAAAATAAACTTGTACTTACACTTAATGCTAAATGTCGAATAGTTTCTGGTAAGATATAATCAAATTGTTCAAGATATCTTGCTTCAGTCATCATTTCATTAAGTTGTGGATCAAAATCAATTGTATAACGAGGTGTAAGAGGATTGTCATCTATTATTAATAACAAAAAACAAAAAAAAATTTAATTTCATAATTTATTTTAGCAATAAATAAACTAACTTTCTCCAGGTGGTAATTCTTTAAGAACATTACGTTTTTGTAATGATGGTAAAATTTGTTCTGTACGTTGTTTCCATTCATTAAATTTTCCATCTTCATATGCTTTCATTTCTCTTGCTACACGAAGATAATAACTTTTAATCTATTTTAAATATAGAAATAAAAGAATTTGAAATACAAAAAGAAATTTTGTATCTACTTGTTTGCCAAGTTCTGTTTGCATTAAAGCTTCTTTTGTATGTAAACGTAACATTGTATGTTTAATACGTCGAAATAATGAACGACTCCATGCAATAGCACCAGAATAAGGTGGTTGATTTTTATTAACAGGTGGATTTGTTTTATTATGTTGAAATATACTATTAATTTCTGTTATCTAAATTTAAGAAAAATTAAGAAAAGAATTTTTCTATTTTTATTCATTTTATATTTACTTCATTATCATATTGTCGTAAAATATCATTAAAACGTTTGTGCATTTCATCTTGTATAGTCATACGAGTATTATTTTTTTCAAATTTTAATAACATATCAAATGCACTTTCAGCCGAACTAAAAATTTAATTTTTCATATTTATTTAATATAAATATAACAGTTGATAGAAAAGTAATTTTTGACAAAGTATTCATTTATTTTTCAGTCTCTTTAAATGAGTCAGTAGGAATTTGAAAAATATCTCTTGAAGTTCTAGTTTAAGAATTATGAGTCGATCTTTTAGAAGCACGAAAATTACATTCGAATGGAGAAAATTGGCGTTTTTTTGCATAGAATTAAAAATAAGATTGTTCTCTATAATATGATATGGACACAATTATTCATTAGCAACGTGACATAGAAGAAGGACATAAACATTCATTTCACTCATTTTAGTTTAAAAAAAAACACTCCGAATTGAGGCAGCATTTTTGAAAACTTGATTAAGATAACTCCAGAGGCTACAAAATCTCTATCAAAAGTTTTTTCTCAGCATGTTTAGATTTTTCAAAAAAAAACTCGATTTATTTTTCGTTAGCGACGTGATGGAGCACGAAAAAATGCTGTTATAACCGAATCGGAAGAAGTTTTTTGGAGTCTGATCTTGCTGAAAATTTCACCATAGGTGCGGTTGATACCACAGAGTCTATCCTGAAATTTTTGAATTTTTGTATTATACAGTTAGGGAAATAATCGCTGATTACTTTTTCCATAAAGTCAATTGAAAGAGCCAACAGTTTTACATATGGTTAAACTAAAAGAATTTATTCAGAAAAAAAAATTCTCGTAAAAAATGAAAGGTGGGTATATTTCGTTTTGCCTGAAGTGACCCATAATATAAGAATCCAGAGTTTCAGAACAACTATTCAGGAAATGTCGAGTTCATTTAGCAAGTCTATTTTCCATAGTAATTGAGAAAATTGTCTAAATTTTCATGGTATGTCTTATCAAAATACTCATTGTTAAGAAATGTCTTGAGGCAAACTAATCATTTTATAGAGAAATTTTTACTTTTTTATTTGCTTCTATTTTGAGTGATTTTTTAGCGCACTGAAGGACGTTTACACTTAATTTACGAACCTCTAAAAAAGTAACTCCTGATTTCTAAACTAGAAGTTCTACAAAAATTTTGTCTCCATATTCAGAAAGACGATAAAATTGAGATTATGAATCAATGCTTTCAAATTTCTGTAGGGTCCTTTTCATTAGATTGAAAAATGAATCAATATTTTGTTAAATAACTTTTTGATCGTGCATTAAAGAAAATCTTTTTGTTTACCGTAAACTTTTAAATGATTCAGAAATAAAACTTTTTGTTTGTTCATCAATTTCTTCAATTTGTTGTCCATAATTAGCTGATACCATTTTCCATTTATCAAGATCTTCAAGACGAAATGGATCACAAGGAGCCTTTTTAAAATAAACTCTGATTTGTTTTTTTTTGTATTTCTTTTATTAAGTAAAATACTTACATGTTCAATTAATTCTAAAACTTTATGTACACGTTCAAGAATTTCATTTATTTTATGTGGTTTTCCTGTAACAGATTTAAGTTCAGGTGTAAATATATTATAAAATTGTTCAAGTTCTTTTGCAATTGCAATAAAATCATTACAAATAATTGCCATATGATCAGTTAATTTAAATAAACGTTTATTATCAAATTCCCATCGTGAATCACGTCCAGATTGTTCAATTTCAGCTCGAACATCAAAATAAGACTAATAAAGAAAAAAAAAACAATTAAATTTAAAAAAAAAAAGAAAGCTTTTTTTGTTCTTTTACTTGTTTCCAACGTTCTAACATATCTTTAGCTTCTGTACATTTTTCAATAATTTCACTTGGTTGATGACTAAAAAAAATAAAGACAAAAGATATTTAAACTTTAAATAATTATAAATTATAAAAATTTCAATACCTAAATAATGTTCGAACATTAATACTACGTGCAACACGTTCACATAATTGATTAGCAATACGTTCCATTAATGGTACCATACGTTCATCACGATTATAATGTCGTGATATAATCCAAACCATACGTAATGCACTCATCATTTTTGGTATTGTTTCAGTAACAACACGAAATGTTGCACCATGTGTTACATTTTTAAAATGACGTTCAAGTGTTGATAAAAATCTATTAAATTCAAATAATGATAATTTCTAAACGATTTTCGAAGCTCATTCCAGGTAGTAGAATCTCTCTTTTCTACTGAGGAAAAATGAAATAAAAAATTTCACCTGGCTGTAGAGACCGTGTAGGGTTGATTCTAGGATCCGGCGGGCTCTACTTGGTAGCGACAGCTACTGTTGAATGAATTCGTATTCGTTTTTTCTCTCTACATTCGTCATGACAATTTACTTTTCTGTGATTATAAATAACTTCAAGGAGTATGAAATAATCGTTAAAAAACTATGTAAATTTTTCATACTATGAAAATTTATTTAATAGAACGAATAAGTCGTTTTAAATACTAACAATTCTAATACGAATTTTAGTCGCTTTCCAAAGAAGTCAAAAGCTATGGATTATGACCAGAATTTTGTAGTCTTTCCGATTCCAGGTTTAGAAATTTTCCTTAAGACTAATAAGATGATCTATTGAGAAGACCAAAAAATAGTTTGAACGGAAAAATTTTTCTATTTTCACTATTGTGACTCGAAAGTAAAGGTTGAAAACTTTATCAATATATACCCTTATAGAGCAGAAACTACCCTATTGAAGTTTTTTCTTTGTCTTTCTGCAGATCACTTCAATCTTTGTTTCTCTTAAACTCTCAGTTTTAAAAAATCCGCTTTTTTGTCCAAAAGGTATTTTGTATAGAAACAAACTCTTCGCAAAGTGCCTATAGGTTACCTTCGAAGGAGAACTCCTAGAAGGTTAGCAAAAGCTTATTAGTGTTCACCATAGCTTTTAACTGCTTGGAAATATTTTAAATGAAGTCAAAAATAAATAAATAAATATTTTATCTTAAAACTTTCAACCAATTCATAAACATATTTTCATTTTAAAATTCAAACTTACTTGACATTATCTTTAGCTTCTAAATAATATTTTGATAAATCAGTTCGAGTATCACGAAATGATGATGGTGCTGCATTTTCTGCTAATTCAAGTTTTTCAAGTACTTGTTCAACATGTTCTTGTTTTGTTTGTTCAAATAAACTACTTAAAGAAATATTACGTTCACGCCACCAATCAATTTCACCTAATGGTCCAGGTGTTTGTGGTGTCTTAAGAGGAAAAAAAAGCAAATAAAGAAAATTTTTTTAATTATTTATAATTATTCGAGATTTTTATTTTATTTTATTTTTTAGTACTTTTTTTAATTCACGTTCAAGTGCTTCACGAATTTCTCCATTCCATTTATATACAAGACTTTCAGCTTGTTCAATAGCATCTTTATTTGTTTTAACAATTTTACTAATATCAAATTGTGGTGGTAATTCAAGACGTACTTCACCTTAAAAAAAAAAAACAAATACATAAATATATTTCTTTATAGTTTTATAAATTATTAATAGTTAATTTTACCTTCTAATTGACGAAGTGTTAAACCAATTTGATTAAGAAATTTTTGTAATTGAATTAAAAATTCATCACGTAACATAGCTCGTAATTCAAGTTCATGTTGACGACGCTAAAAAATAAAAGAATAATATGTTTGAAAAATTAATTAGACAATAAATAATTTTAATCGAACTTTTTCATCTTTTTTGTCTTCTTCAGTTTCTTCAGTTGATGGTTCCGTTGGTGCAATTTCTTTTTGAGAACCTTTAGATGCTGCACTTCGACGTCCATCGACAGCATTGGCTTCTTCATGTTCACTTTGATATGTTAATAATGGATTATAAATCTTAAACAAACGATATTTTATACATCATTCGAAAAAAAAAAAGTTTTGTATGAACTTGAAAACAGTAAATCAAAAAAAAAGACAGAAGTATAAGATGGAGAGAAAAAAAGTAGCTAGAAGAATGAATATCAAAGGAATGTGGAGATTCACGTTTGCCTCTCCCCGTCTGTAGTATATACAATACTATCAATCATAGAGATGCAATGGTGACGATCATCACTGGGGCACCGATCTTAAGTAGAAGGCTGTTGGTCGAGACATGCACGTACAAAATAACGGTGAACATATGATAAAACTACGGTGATCTTAGATTCATTTCAACTTTTTGGATCGAAGTCTATTTCAAGAAAATAGTGGAATTCGGTAAAACATAACTAATGTCTTTTTTTTATAGCATTATGTTCCAACACTTTCAATGAACACACTGATACCAGTGTGCATTAACTACACCGAAACTTCATATTCTTAATTCTGATGTTCATTCAAACTATTATAGTCTCTTCTTATCATTTCATCATCGACCTTGAACTATTAAATAGAAATTCTTTCTTACTTTATTCAGTGTATTAGCAAGTAAATGAAGTGTATGTCCATTCAATAGACCATAATCAAGATATTTAATCATTATTTTATCAGCATCTTCAATCGATGATGGTGCAGGTATTGTTCCTGGTATTGTACGTAAAAAATAGATACAATTTTTTTTACTTAAATTCGATGGATAAATATCACGACATAAATAAAGCATTGTACGAAGATATTTAACAAGTTCATTTCGCTACAAAAAAAAAAAAAAAATGAAAAATTTTCTTTTTCGTTCAGTAAGAAAACAATTATTTAAAATTTACATATCGTTTTGGTTTTGGTCGTGTTTCAGGTGTTTGATTTTCTCCATCAACATTTGTTCCTTCACCTGTTTGATCAATATTATCTGACGTTCCATTTTGAACACCTGAACGTACTGTTTGATTAGCTGACGAATCATTTACTCCTGATTGTTGTTGTTCATCAGCACCACTATTTGTAGTAGTTCCTTCTTCATTTGGATCAAAATCTGGATTAATAGCAAGTTGTTCTTCAATCCATTCTTCTTCGGCTAAAAACAAAATTTAGTTTTTATTTCTCATAATTTTTTTTTTGTTTTTTTCAATTACTTATTTCAACTTGTTCTTCACGTAATTCTTCAAATACTTCTTTATAAAATAATAAAGCATTTTCATCATCAACATTTGTATCAGATTCATTAAGAAATTTTGCAATTAGTAATTCATTAGCACCATCATCACCTTCCAAAAAATCTTCAAATGCTGGATCAACTTCATCAATATTTAATATCGTATAAATAGAATCTTTTAACCAACGAAAACGTAGATCATCCATTGAATTTCGTTTTTTTTCTTTTACTTCTAGAAAAAAAATCACAATAAATGTACTATAAAATAAATAACAACACGATGTTTTAAGCACGAATTTGCCATTAATATTCTTTGTTACTAAGTAACAGACACTTTATTGGTATATGTCGCTAGTAATCATTTTAATATTTTGTTAAATACCCATGTCTATACGACACACTTGTGACACATGTGTCGACACATTATATGACACATGTAACTTCAGTCACGTTTTGATACATGTGTCACCAGTGTGTCATAGTGTGTCGACACATGTGCGTAACGTGTGTCACGATGTGTCGACACATTCGTATCCATAGTGTCGCAGTGTGTCTGTGTCGCTTTTTAAAATCATTCTATTGGTTTATCTTTCATCTCTAGCAGTTATTATTATATTAATAGATATATTAATATTTAATTTTTTTTAGCAGCGTTTGCTGCACAATACCTTTATTTCAATAAAAAAAAATGTGTATTTAACAAAAAAATATACAGAAAAAACAAAAAAAATATATACATAAAAAAATATACAGAAAAAACAAAAAAAATATATACATAAAAAAATACATAAAAAAATATACATGAAAATATACAGAAAAAAATATACATGAAAATATACAGAAAAAAATATAAATAAAAACAGAATAAAATGTACATTAAAAAAAATAAAATATACATTCAAAAATATAAATAAAAAAATAAAATATAAATAAAAAAAATAAGATGTACATTAAAAAAATAAAACATACATTAAAAAATATAAATATAAAAAAAGAAAATATACATTATAAATTAACTAAAAAACGGAGGCCATACACAGTTGCATTATTCGTAGAACGGAGATGTTTTTGGAACAAATTTGGATAAATTTATAAAAAAAAAGAAAATAAGATTAAATTATATTAAAAAAAAAACTTACGTGAATTTTATTAATAATTTCATTCAAAAAATTTTAAATAATACCTGTTGTTAAACTTCAAGATCTGAAAATATAAAATAAAGTTCAATTTAATTTAAAAAAATGAATTTATTTTCAGCTTATAAAGACGAAGTTTGAATTTTATATATGACGAAAAGAGATACGTTTTTTTTTTCTTTCCTCTCCTTTATCCATACTATATCGCTATTTATCCATGACACGCTACCGATACATGTATCGACACATGCCGTACAGAAAAATCACTGTGACGACACGTATCGTTACATGTAACTCCATCGTGTCATTGTGTCGACACATGTATCGGTAGCGTGTCGTATCGACATGGGTAAATAAAAAATTGATTTTTAAAAGATTAGTAAAAAAAAAAACACTTTTCTATTCTTTCTTATTTTTTTTTGTTAAAGCTTTTTAATTAAAAGCCAAAAAAAAAAATTTCATTTTATTGATTGTCTTATTTTGTGTGTGAGTTCATATTATTATCATCATTGTATTTATTTTTAATGTACAAGTAGTTCATTAGATTCTCTGCGAAATATTATTCATTTATTTAAAACATTTATTTCTTAATGATAATGTTTTAAGACATTATCGTACTTTTTTTATTTATTTCAAATAATAATAAAAGAAAACGACGAACAAATTTTCATCAATGAACTAATTTATTTTCTAAGAATTATTGTGTTTGCTTTTTTTTTGCTTTGCCTTCTGGTATTATTATCGGTATAAGTAATTTACTTTTTGCCGCAATGTTATGGCCATAAGTGGCTTTATGCCAGCATGGATGAAAATTTCCAATTCAGATGTATATTTATTTATTATTTATTCATTAAAAATTGAAAATAATTTTTTTTTTGTTCTATAGAAAACAAATGGTAATCAAAAATTGAGTATTGAGCGATCAAGCAATAATAATAATAATAATAATACTAGCAACAATAAGTGTCAATTACCAAATGAAATCAATTTAACAGGTCAGTAATAAGATTATCTATCGGGTTCGGAATCGACCACGCGTAACCTGTATTACATTTGAGAGGTACCAAGTTCGTTTGGTCTCGCACATGTCTAATCCAAATTAAGATTCGATTCCAAAAACTGTTCTCTTTATTTTATGATAAATATTATTTATTAAATATTGATTTTGTTTTTAATTTTGTTTTTAATTTTAGGACAATATCGAAATAAATCTAATGATCAGCAATCATCAACTGATTTAGATGAACAATCAGAGAATTTCTTCTCGTTTCAATCTCGACGTTCATTTAGTCGAGAACGTTCATTAAATTCATTAGGGAAAGTAAGTATTTCATAGAAAGTTTAAATATACTGAAAAAAAAAACATCCATCAACTGGAACTTTCACGTTAAAATAATAATAAAACAAACGTTATTAGTTACTTTCCTTTATATTTTTTTCTTATTATAGAATTTCTGTCTTCTATGTTTTTCGCTATTCGACAATGAATATAGTTTTTATATTTTCGTAATATTTCAATAAATTATTATTAATATGCCACTCTCATCCTTGCGCAGTGTTGTATGTTATTGAATCACATGTCTATCAATAGAAGTTTGTAGGAAGTGAAATAGGAACCACACTTCTGTTAAACATGCGACTAATTATTGCTTTCTCAAAGAGCGGATGACGTCAAGACTAAAGTTTTCATTACTTCCTACTCGATTATCTTATATCAAAAGTCCGGGGGGCTGTTTCCAATTGACATGTCAAAGTTCTTTGAAAAATAAAAAAGAGATTGATGACTTTAATCAATTAACTGAAGAATTTTTTTTTTCGATATTAGCGAATAAAAATTTTGTCAATCATTTATTTTTTCTTATTTTAGGATTCAGAATTAAATGGAAATGATTATTCATTGTCGTCAAATAATCGTTCATTAATAAATTCAAATACAAATCATCAACATCGTTTACATTCCGTATCATCATCGTCATATAATAATGGTCAAATAACAAAAATAAATAATCCTAATAATTTAATAAATGGAAATAGTTTAGAATGTTTATCAAATGATAATTATGAACGTATATATGGAGAAAATCATTCTGATATAACAATAAAAACAAATGAAAATAAATTTGATCGACTTGAAAAAGATTTTGTAAATAAATTTTTAATAGAAAAAAAAAAAAACCCAATTTTCTTTTTTGTTTTTCTTTGTTTATATTTTAGCCATCATTAAATGGACGTGATTTATCATCTAATAATAAAGAACAATCATCAATATGGAATAATGCATCATCAAAATTTCGTATTTCAAATCAAGGAAAATTTTCACGTACATTTGGATCAAATCGTCTTATAACACGACGTGATCGTTTATTAAGTACACCAAATAATTTAAATATAAATACTCGATCAACGATACATGAATTACAAACAAGTTGTATAACACAAACAAAAAATTTAGATAAACGTAGTAGTTTTTTAAATTCATTAAAAAATGATTCAAATAATGAAGAAAAAAATACAAATAAACATCATATAAATCGATCATCAAAATTAATAGGAAATTCAAATGAAAATTTTCAATTAACTAAAGAAACATTACGTTTATTATCTGTACCTGAAACATCAGAAGAAAAAGAGTTGAGTATTAATTCTATTAAATTTTGTGAAACATGATCTACAAGAAGTGTTGAAGTATAGGAATAGGAATTTGAAACCTTCTCCGTTTCCAGATGTTAAAGTCAAATTTTTTTTCGCTTTTTCATTGCTAATATAGCTTCGAAGTATCCATCTATCAAATGCCATATAAATGAGGGTTCTTTGTTGTTAGTTAATACTTTTATTAAACCTAATTCTCGAAATTCCTAACAGACAAACTCTCACTACGATTATTCTTTGTATGCAAAATTTTCCTAATGATAAGTTCTAAAGGTACTGAGAGCATAGATCATGAATCTCTAACATCGCTGAACACGCCCAGTTTTCGATTACTTTAGTTAGAGAAAAAAAGTTCTGATACGTACAGGAAATATTTATTTTTCGTTTTTCTCGAAATCAATTTCTCCGATAGTGTATGTTCGATCGAGCTGAAACTTTTTTCCGGGTACTGGACACTGTTAGGAGTGTTTACTTTTTTTTTGTCTTGAAAAATATTGCACTGTTGATTTTTGACAGATTTTACACAAAAGACCGGCAAAAGAAAAACATGGATTTTTGAAAGTATCCTCAGTATTTTGACCTTTTTATTCGAATAGAAGGAGATAAAATGAACTAAGCACTCCAAACAGTGTCTAGTATCTGTAAAAAAAAATTCCAGCTCTCTTGAACTTATTGTGACTGATATAGCGGGATGATTTTTACACATAGTTCTGATGAGCCATTGTTCAGAAAGGAAGGCGGGTGGTCATCGTAAGGACACCCGCTCTTTCGGATAACTTCTGATTCTTGAACAGAGTATAGCCGATTGGGCTCATATTTCTATCACAGGTAGATTATCAAAAATGATGGGATTCAGGCTCGCGGAGAAAATTTTAAAAGCAGATCTTTAGAGATTTTCAAAAATCTCTAAAGATCTGCTTTGAAAATTTGGACCCGACCAGTTATACTCTCGTGAAGAATCAGAAATGTTCAAAAGAGAAGGTATCTTTAAAGGACAATCGTAGATCGTGATAGACATAACCGTGAGATCAAAGTTCACTGCAGGATTCGTCTGATAGTTGTCCTATATTTATCCTTCGTCATCGACATGCATTAACAGTAACTAGGAATTCATAAATATATTGATTAATCACATCTTATATAATACTAGCAGCTTCATCATGTTTCACATTTTAATTCCATAGGGATTGCGTTAACAGTTTTTTTTTTGTTTTTGAAAATTTAGATTATTAATACGTATGGGTTGGAATGATGATATGACTTATGAAATAACAGATAAAGATAAAGAAGAATATGAAAAACGAATAAAATTTTTACCAAAAGTAAATAAAAAAAAAGAATTTTATATAAAAATATTAAATAAATGTTTTTCTTTTGCTTTTTTTTTTTATGTGTACTTCTTTAGACAGATAATCGATCTGCAGCATTAATAACAGCTTTACATCGTCGTTCATTACCATGTATAAATATTCGAGATGTACTTCGACTTGAAATGATTGGTTCAGCATCAGACGATGATAGTTCAGAGGATTAATATAAAGTTTTCTTCTTTTTAAAAGAAAAAAGAACAAAAAAACCGGTTTTCTTTCTCTCTATACACGAGTTCATTTATTGTTTTCTTATTTGCCATGAATACCTTTTGTTTATTGTGTTCTTATTTTTATATTTGATCTCTGTACTTGAAGAACACCAACTGCTTTGTTGTTTTTTTTTCTTTGTTATATATATACACGTGTGTGTGTGTGTGTGATGTTTATTTGCTTTATTGTTTTCTTAACAAACGTTCCACTCAATATGTATTGTTATACATATAAAACAAACAAACAAACAAACAAGAACTATACCTATCTATTTTATAATTGTTAATCATTTCTTTTCTTTTCTTTTTTTCTTTTTCGTTGCTTATCCAGCTTTTGTTTTGCTACTGATGCTTCTGCCATTGTTTTTTCGTTTATGTTGTTGCATTACAATGCATTGCCGTGTCGTTTTTATTATTATTATTTTTTTTTTGGTCTCTTTCTTGAATATATATTGAAAATATAATACAACAAAAATGAGGAAAGCACGAAAAACAGGAAAATACTTTTGAATATTAAGTTCCAGACGGATTAATTCTATGAACAGACGGACGAAAATAAAACGCAGAGTATCATGATTTAGAAGGTATCTTGAAAATTGTAGGAAGAATGTCATCAAAACTTTAAGATATCACTGGTACTTATTAGATGAAGACTGTTAGTGTGTAAAAACAAAGTAATATGATACTTGAGAAAAACAAAAACTCTGTCACGATTCAGTATAAAGAAGTAATCAACTAATGATCCAGTAAAAGCTATATATATATATATTAGATTATTCAAGTATACTATAGACATTTGAGAAGAAAAAATAGTTCAATGTTACTTTCATCTAGAAGATATAAAGAATATCTATTATCCAATTAAATAATTTCGATTAGTTGATACATCGATCTGTATTATCAATGTTCTCTTTCGAATATTCAATTTACTATATGATTTAATTGATACATCAGTCTTCGGAAAACATTGAAAGATCAACAAAGTATTTTAAATATAAAAAACAACAGCAATCCTTCCCAACACCAATGAAAATGAATCCAATCAAGACAATAAAGATCATAGCAATCATCAGAATACACCTGATTCAATAATTACTGTTGTACTTATTGTCAATTTTTTAGACTTTCTTACTTTAGATTTGATTGAAATTTTATCTCTTTATTATTGGGTACATTCTAATAAATTAACAATAAAATGCATATCTATAGGATAAAGTTTTGTGAGACACGATCTAGAAGGAGTGTTGAAGTATAGGAGTAAAAATTTGGATCGTCTTTCCAACAATCTGTAATAGACACTAACCAGAGATCATCACAGACTACCACAGCAGCGTCACAGGCTGTGATACACGTTTTTGATATACGATCACAGACTTTATAATAATAATGTGTCATTATAATACATGGAACTATTTCCGTATTATATTTCTCGAGGATTAACTAAAAGGATGATGAAGAAATGCATTCCAAACTAGATAGAATAAAGCAATCTCCTTGTGATTAACAGCAAAAGAGATGAGGAAGAAGATTAAAACGAACCAAAATTTGCTTACGCACTAATTGAATGATTTTAACAGCTAATCAATTGTAAAAATTGAATAAGTCAAAACAGATGATGTTTTCGGCTATTATTATCGTATGTCTCGGATTTGCTATCAATGGTTTCCCAGTTATTTTTTTAATTCATTCGATTTCTTTGATAAATTAGGTAGAGAATAATGATCCGAAATTATCGAAAGATGCCAATCCTGAATTGCTTGATAAAGAAATATCTATATAATTATTAACACAATTTATTAACATTTCTAACAATAGGTGATGGTTTTGAAGATGATATGCTCTTTCTACCAGATTTCGATCCAATCCGTGGAACTGCTATTTTTAGAACACTACGCTGTTGGCCTAACAGAATAATTCCATATGATATATCAGCTATTACAGGTAGATTTCAAAAAAAAAGAAACAGATCTTTGCTGTTTATTTATTATTGAATAATAGATGCTAATGATCGAATTACAATTACAAAGCCAATGAATCAATTAATATTCGATGTTGGAACACCTATAGAAGGTCAAACAGCATGACAAATTTGTGTCTTTTTTTGACTAGCTCAGGCAGGTGATATAAAAATACTTGAAATTCAATATGGTAACGGATGTAGTGCACCAGTAAGTTAAAGAAAATAAATGTCTTTGAAAATATATTATTTAATACAGATTAGATATGTTCCAAATTATCAAAAAACACTTAATTAAAAACAAAAAAGATGTTTTCATAGTGGTATAATTCAACATGAACTTATTCATGTTCTTGGTAAAGTTTAATTAAATAATTTTAAAGAAATTAAATTTATTTGATATTTTCTTTTTAGACTTTTGTCATAAAGAATCACGACCTGATCGTGATTCACATATAAAAATACGTGCAGAAAATATTCTAACCAATCAAGTAAATGATCAATTCTGTTTAGTAGTATTGATTTCTGTGTTTTTTAGGAACATAATTTTAAAAAATATGCTTGAGGAGTCGATTTAGAATCACAAGGATTCGTATGTGATTATGGTAGTTTGATGTATGATGGGTTCTTTCTCCAAAAATGATAAACCAACAATCATACCAACCAAAAGCAATGTAGTTATTGGTCAAAGAGAAAAATTCAGTGAAACAGACATTGCAGAAATTCGTCATGATTATAAATGTTATAAAACATTTTTCAATAATTGAATCGAAACATTGTCATTGAAATTTTTTCATAGAAACTTATAGTTAAATTGAACAAAATCAAAGATTTCGCAATTAAAGAGATATGAAATCTACAAAAAAAAAATAGACAACAATTTAGGTTATATTGTCCTGTTTACAAAGCTTTATCATAAAAATATTTATGATTTGATCATGGTCAAATGAAGATGATGATTATAACATTGTTTTATGCTTATTATCAATACATGAAACGAATTTTTATGAGTGAAAAAATTTGAAATAAAATAAAAACCTAATCCGCTCTAATTTGGATACAGAACGAGGGTGAATAAGAATATTTTTCTATATCAACAAAATTAACTTTTTTTTATTGAATTGTATGACGCCTAATAATGTTTCATAAGCTAGTTTTTGTACAATTAACCGAACGATTTTTGGCACTTGTAGTTTCTCATGAAGATTTCTCGAAAACGTATACTCATCGATAGACTTTACTGCACTGATTATGTACATCAGTATGTTAAGGCCTCCCTTCAAAAATCGATCTTGAACTAGGTACATTTAAATCGCATGAAAATTTTATCGTATATTGGAGTGTAGTGAAGAGGCTATGTGAAAATTTTCAGCCCTATATTATGATATTCGAGGGAGATATTTAATAAATGAGGACCAAAAATAGCTCATTTGGTAACCCGAAATTATCTGTGTGCTCTCATTTAGTTTTGTTTACTGGAAAGAGCATGTCAGACTGCAGTGCTCTTTTTTCTTAAATTCTTACTTTTTATGTGGAGAAAAAGAATGAGAAGTTCAATACCTCGCAAAATGGTTATCTGTTTATAGAAGTGCTTTTTTTTTTAAATAATAATAAAAAATCTTAATTCAAAAACCGGGTACTGCAGTTTCACATACTCTTTCAAACAAAAAGAAAAGCAATTGACTACAATGAATCACATTCGAAAATTCTGGAAAAACATTTTCTGGTTTTTTTTTAATGAAGAAAACATAGTTTTTCAGTAGAAGATAATGGAAATCATTAAAAATTTTTACAAAAACCTAGGTGCCAGATAAAAAAATCATGTTACTTATGAAAGATCAAACCTTGAATTATCTCAATTTCGATTTTTCTGACGAAAATTGTCTTTTATTTTTGAGGAGGAATCTCAAATGTGCAAAAGACTCGTAGTAATTACAAGAATGTATATAGAAACATGCACCTATGTAGCAATGTTTGAACAAATATCATACGACTCTCCGATCTTTAGAACATCAAGACACAAAATAGCGATTCGAATTACGTGTCCAGAAAGTAACTAGATTGCATTCGAGTTTCACTATATTGTGAAATATAGTCCGAAGCTACGACTATCGATTGTCTCGAAAATCGATACATCATAAAAAAACAAATAATGCCTTCGACAATTAATCATAAAACACTTTTCTCCACGAGACATTTACAGTTCATGGCATCGAATTTCTTTTCTGTTGCTTTTATCGGAAACTGGAATAATTCACGTTCTAGTTATTCTGCTGATCGATATGCAAAAGGAATTTCAAAGTACACGTGACAAACCTCATTATTATGAGAACTCTATCAACGTGTATCAACATGTTATAACAGAACGCTGTTGATGTGTTGTTTAATTATCAATATGATTTGTTATTATTTTAATTATTTCAAAACTTGAAAAAACAAGCTAAACCAACAAAAATTTGCTTTTTAGATCAGCTTTCTCTAAGGAAATGGAGTGCCATGTTGAAAATTGGAAAAAACTGTATAGACTCAATCATAAAATTTTATTCTTATGTTTGAGCCAGTATTTTCTGACTTTTCGTATTCCAGATCATCGCGACCGAAAATGATAACTTTGAATAAACGACTACATAAATACTGTGCGAAGCGATCTCAAATTTCGGCAACAAGCTTTGAATTATGATAAGGACGATGAACGATTCCACTTAGAGTTGATTCTGTCCTGTCAAAGATTTTAATTATTGCTCCTGCTCACAACAGCTGGCGGTTTAGCTGACTGAAGACTAATCTCTCAATCCTTTTTTTTTTTATCTCGGGTAAAAGATGGAAGGGTAATCGTTAAAATCTCTGTTTTGCGGAATTTATTGGAAATGAACAGACACTCATATTGAAGATTCAAAAACATTTGTATCATCTCGATGCATCGATCTCTGACAAAGTTCGAACGAATTTCTCACGACTCGCCGTTCTCCACATCATCTCAACACAAAATACAGATTTTGTCACAACGAAAAATACACAAAGTATGAAGGTCGAATGCGAACGCGACCGACGGCATAAATGTTCTACTACGTACGATCTTTAAAAAACTCGCGAACAATTGCTACACAGTACTTTGCATCATAAGTATGGATCTCAATAGTGATTAACTTTTGTTTTGTTTACCATAAATCTTTGAACATTTAATATACTAATATAGATAATGAGAATCGTTAAGTCTATTGGTGAATATACGTTTCTGAGAAACCTCCGTCAACAACTAGAGATCCAAAAAAACGTTTGATTAGTTGCAAGTAAAAAAACTAGCCTATGAAATATCATTAGGCGTCACAGAGTTCGATAAAGAAGTGAATTCTGTTCGAACAGAAAAATGACTTTATGGGTTCTTGAATTATGTCGTTGTAATGAAGTGATTGTAAAATAAAATTGTACTTTTATATATAGCAGTTTTTGAAAGATAAAGAATAAAACTAGAGTCAATAATCTTTTAATATACCTTCTAAAAATTATATCTTATCTCAATAAAAAAGTCATAAACATTGAAACTAATGTCTAGTAATAATCGCCTCTTCATTTTACTGTTGTAATAAATAGTTTGGTCTTTATAGTCATATATATTCATTTGTTGTAAAACAAGAAACAAAAAATGTCTTATTCAATTATAATCATTGCCAGTGTATTATTATTTGGAACAATTAATCAAATCGATTGTCTTCAATGTTATAGATGTAGTTGTTCCATTGTACCAGGTGAAACAACATGTACAGATGATAGTGAACTACAATGTGTTATAGAATATGTTGAAAATAATTATTGTATTATCTCACGTTTATCAAATCAGATAAGATTTGGTCATAATCCTAATTCGGATTTGATATTTTTAGAATCTTTACATTACATACGAGATGAACAAGAAATTATCTTTTTGGAAAGTAGTTCAACTTGGCAACTATCTACTATTGTAGAATTTTCTTATGGATGTGATTGGAATTTATGTAATACACCACGTCTTCTTAGTCTTCTTCCACACAGTCTTACATATACTATTGATTCAAGTCTTTTAACAAATACATTAATTGCTAAACCTAATGAACCATTTACAACATGTTTATCATGTACAAAATGTGCAAATTCAACTAATGAAGTTACTTGTCCAAAAGTAACATGTAATGGTACATGTTTTATTAATGGTTATTCTGATGATCCATTATTAAATTCTGTTTCATGTTTGTTTCCATTTGAAAGTGTATGTCGAGAAGAAAAACGTAATACATCAGTTCATATAAAAGGAACATATTATATTGATGATGATATATTTGGCATAAACGATATAGATATTTGGTGTAAAAAAACAGATTGTAATAGTCCAACAAATGCACAAATTATACAACAAAATATTAATTATTCAATAGAATTGAATGATCAAATTTATTTTCGTCCAAATCCTAGTAGTACAACACCATCAACACCAAATAATGAGCTACTTGCTTGTTATAAATGTCATTGTGAACATGAAATAAGTAATAATAATTGTAATTTATTAGAATGTACAATTGAATATGAAAATGGAAGTTACTGTGAAATAGTACGTGATTTTCAAAGTTTTTCTAATATGGAATTGATTAATATTGGTCATGTACAAAGACAATATGTACCTTATAGACATTATATTCATGCAGAAGAAGAAATAATACTTTATAGAAATTTATCATGGCATCCACCATCAGTTCGCATGATTACATATGTATGTGATTGGGAATTATGTAATGATCCTCGTATTGTTGATAGATTAACAACAAGTTTTCAATTTAATGCTGAACCATCAGTTATAGCTGGACATCTTCAAAGTTCAGAATCACTTAGTAATTGTCGTCAATGTACACGTTGTACTAATTCAAGTATTGATTTTGATACATGTCCATCTGTATCTTGTTCAACTCCTGGACACTGTTATATTCATCAATATCTTGATAATCCTGAATATAATGATTGTGAATATGCATTTCAAGCTGAATGTGAAACCTTTGTATCAGAATCAAGTATTATAATTATAGCTACTTATAATATTGACGATGATATATTAAATATTGACGAAGTAGGTATTCATTGTTCTAAAAATGATTGTAATAAACCTCAAACAGTATATGATATACTTAATCTTATGGAAGAAGATATTCAACTTGATTCATTATTTTTTATCCGACCAATCGTGAATACTACAGCAGGACCTACTATTACAGAACCAGTACCAAGTTCCACTGTATCTTCATCTAGCTCTCGTACAGCAATGCAAGCTACTACAGAATCATTCATTTGCATCATGGTCACATCAAATTTTGCAACTATTTACTTTTTTCTTATCAGTAGTATTTTTCTTATCTTTCATTATTAACTGAAAAAAAAATTTATCCAATAGAAATAAAATATTTTTAAAATAGTTCATAATGATATGATTAATATTCTGGAAATTTTTGAAATAAACGAGCTTGCTAATTTTCCAATAAATTGACATTAATTATTGTTTTAGAAGGTTTTTAGCAAGTAAAAATTCATGAAAAATGTTATAACATATTCATATGTACAAAATATTATAAAATTGATGTATAGAAAATATTCACAAAAAAAGACTGATTATATTATAAAAGATTTCAATGAAATCTTTCAAAATTATTATTGTCTTCATTATTATTTAGCGACAAATGCAATACAATACATAATAATTATTTATATGAGAATAAATCATTGTAAGAAATATAACAACCAAAAAATAAAATCTTTATTTTCATTTATCAATGTAAACAACCTTTCCTAATTAGTTTATTTCTAAGAAATAAAATTACCGTATAACAATTCATGTGAGTAGATTGTGTAATCGAGCCTAAAATTGTAACAGAGAATATAATAATCTACTAATAATGGATAAGCGCAAGCGTTATCCATTTTTTAAATTATTATTTAAAATTGTGAAATTGAATGAGAAAGTTTTTTAAGAAATTAGTTCACTTCAGATAAAACTTAGCTTAATTTTATTAACCACATTATTTTTTATTTTCTATTAGTTTTTTTCTTCTAGAAAATAATTACGAAACAAAATGACATTGCTTTTTCTATTCTGACATATTATTTACGTAAGTATCTCTTTACTATCGTATGTATTAATTTATAACAATTGATATCTGTATTTGAACATTGACATGATATTCTACTTTTTAACTGAAATTATTGAAAAAACTCTATTAAGGAAGATCGATCTTGAGAAAATCTATAAATATAATTCATCGTTTTCATACTACGAGCATTTAAGTGCATGTTGTTAACTATACTAGGCAACCTTCAATGAATATAATCAATTTGAGTAATTGCATCACATTATGCTATTTTATACTGTCGTTCATAGTGCAACATTCGATTTTGTTAATATCTGTAGTACATACTCTTGATGAAAAGCGAATTGGTATTTTGTTTTTCTTTTAGGTTTCATTTAAATAAGAACAAAAAAAAAAAGAAACGAATAATCATTTTGTCGAAAATTAAAACATTCCTTTTTCTGAAAACATTTTCATCGTACGGTTAATTGAATTATATTTTCAAGTTACATATCAATGAAATTTAGTATTTATATATGCATACATTCTAAACTAATAATATGTTGTTTACTAATAAATTCAATCATCGAGTTTTTCACATAGTATTCCGAAAGCAAATGAAATACATTAAAATGTGATAATTAATGGAAATAATTTCATTTGTATATTGACTTGACTTATTCAAATATATTGACATATTTGAGATTTTCATATGTAATAAAATAAAATATTTTTTTGCATTTGTAACAATCGATATTTATTTATTCGAGTAATAAAATCATTTGAATCGATTCTCATGATAAAAAGGACAATGTTATAATTTTCTATCGAAAAAATAAATATAAAAAAAAAATCACATAAGAGATTTATTTTAGAGATGATTGAATCCTTATTTTGTTGACAACTTCTTTTATACCAGTTTTACGCAGAAAATCAAGAAATTCAATGCTAATAGCATCCAAAAACAAAACACCAGGAAAAAAAGTAATGGGAAGGAAAGCTTTTTGATATGTTATATACATGAAAATGATACCTACTGTTCGCCGGAAATGAGAATGAGAACGGAATGCATGTCACAGAGCGCATCGCAGTTGAGGTTTAATTTATACATATTAACAGCGACTACCGGGATTTATTTACATCGGTGGATTTATCTATTGATATCGTATAATACATTTGAACTGAATGAAAAATAGTCATAGCCCAGAATAATTAACATTTACCTACAGCTAGTATGTCGTCCTTGCTCTTACTCTCAATTATGTACTTGTCCTCGGTCTAATCTCTTCCATTTGATGATAAAATATACCGAGAGATTTTATAGAGAAATCCCAGAAGTTGCTGATTATTGCGAATCCATTCTAAGTTGGGATTTTCTTTTATGATGTATGATTCAATAGAAGAAATTGTGCTCTACGTAAGAAGTGCTTTTAATCGTAGGTTTCATTTGAACCTAAAAAAAAAACAATAGCTTTTTTGACCTATACCGGAAACTTTCAACAAAAAAAGCAATACAAAATACTTTTCTTTATGTGACATTCACTTAATTCTATTGTCCAATCTTTTATTAGCAAGAACACTACAAATTACATGAGATATTCTATTTAAATAGATATTTCATGTTGAAAAATTGTGTTGATAGTCTCCTATTTATATATATCAAGTAAAGATAGACCTACTTGTACAGTCTCATTAACGCACTAAAAAAGGCTTAAGAAATCGTTTGAACAACGTGAATTTATAGGAAATATTTTTTTTTGTACAAAATTCTTATATTTAAAATCAAAAACGATGATTATATCATGTAAGTTATATAGCTTTGTTATTTTATAAATAGCAAGAGTAAGAAGTTTACTATAGTCCTAGCAACAGCTTAAGTATAGACTTCATTAAATACATAGCTAATTTTTCCACGTCACATTTATGTAGGCAGAGGATAAAATTAAGAATAACACGCTATGTTAAGTTGCATTTGACACATCTTTCTTTGGTGAGATAAGAATCCAGTCGTGTTGTGGAGATTGTGATAAGCTTCTTACTCCTGGCTATTCATAAGGTAATAAAACTATAGAATTTATGTGATATAATCGCTTTTGATTTTAAATATACGAGTTTTGTATGAAAAAAAAAAAAGATTCCCTACAAATTCATGCTGTTTAAACAATCTTTTTATGCCATCTTCAATGCATGAGTGAGACCGTACAAAAAAAAAAATCTATCTTTGCTTGACATATACACAGGAGACGAGCAATACAATTTTTCAACATGAAATATCTGTTCTAATAGAATTTTTCATGCAATTTGTAGTGCTCGTATTAATAATAGATTGAACAATAGAATTAGTCAAACATCACATGAAAATAATTTCTTTTATTGCCCTTTTCTTGAGATATCCGGTATGAGTCAACAAAAAAAAAAAAAAATCATTCTTCTTTTAATACATGTTCAAAGAAAAACTACGATTGAAAGTAGTTCTTACGTAAAGCACAATTTCTTCTGTTGAATAATGTATTATAAAGAAATTTTCAACTTAAAATAAACATGCAATAGTTTGTAAAAATATATGATTCGATAATTTTTAAAGGATGAAGAATGACATTTTGTGATTGTATCACAGAATAAAATTTTAATAGATCAATAAATTAATTTGGAATTTTCGACTAGTATACTAGAAACTATGAGCTGTAATCTGACGTAAATCAAATCATTTTAGTTCATCTAGTTTTTGAGTTATACACAAAATAAAATAAAATAATCTACTTGTTGAATAATTTTGATAGCCATTGTATCAATTAAATTTTAAATAGTTACCTTCATTACCTGCAAAGATTCTCAGAAAAGTGAAGCTATAATTTATGTCAACTAGATGTTTTTCATTGAAGAATTCTTAATATTACTAAAATGAAATATCAAAACTTTTTCTTGTAAAACAAAAAATTCACGTTAATATTATTAATACGGAAATCCTATATAACCTTGTCGTATTTCAGTAGAATTTGGAATTTCAATAAAAAACTAACAGTAACATAAAGGATTGAGAATACTTTGAATAATATATATATATATGAGTTTTGACATATTTACTGAAATGAAAAGAATTAGATTAATAATTTCTGATTTTTTTTATTTTAAACAAAAGAAATCATTTTCTCTTGTATAGAAATAAAAAATGTTTCATTCTTTTTTAATTCATATTTTAAATATATTTCCATTGAATATTTCGTTTTGTTTTTTGTATATTCAATAATGGATGTTCATATCAATAATTTTTTAGATATAGTTTAACTATGCTATTTCTCATTTGGGAACAAAATTCGTTGGTTCAATAGTCGACCACGGATGCATATATGAATAATTGATGACATATTTAATGATTATGAATGCCACTATCCATTAATAGACATAGTCTTGTCTATATATAGGCGTTTTCTGCATCATGATCATTGAATTTTTATGCGAAAAATATTCTTGCATGTTTTTTTTTTTCTTTTTCTTATTGATTAGCTTAAACAAATTTTTTTTCTCTTTCTATTCAAAATATAGATGGATATATATATATAACATTAACATATGAGATCTTCGAACATCGTTTTTCATTAGATTCCCTGTAGAGTTCATATGTATTGATGACTAGCGCATGGGTACGTAAGAAACCAAACTAATCTTTATTATTAGAAAAACGTCATCTCTTTAGTATTACTAGGTCGATTCTCAAGTGAGTCAGCAAGTATATGGATGTGTTTAATCGAATCAATCTATAGATAGGGAGAGAAGAAAAAAAATAGGAAAAGAAGAAAGCGGAACGGTTGCTCGTCGTTCATTAGTTTGCAGTAAGTAAATTGAATTTTCTGACATCTCTTTACTATTCTGCATCCGAAATGTCACTTATTCATTCTCGATTTTTTTTTTCTCATAGCTAGCTTGTTCTTTAAAGATAGATTTGTATATTTGATTGAATTTATGATTGAGGTTTGTTTAGCAATAATTGCGTCAAATATGTTTGTTCACTATTCTTCAAAAGGAAAAGTCGCAGATGAAAAAAAAATAAAAGAAGAGAAAAGAAAAGAAAAGAAAAGACGGAAACGAATATTCATATTAATTTTCTATTAATTTATATTCCTATAGATTTATTCACGAGAGTCATGAATCATACGCATATGCATATAGAGACTCTTTTCTATTTTTTATTCATCGAGGAATTATCGAATTTTCTTACTTGTTCAATGCTTTCTTTTTTTTTGTTGTTGTAAAGAGTCATTCTAAATGGATGTTACTGCTCAAAAAAAACAACAAGTGAGGGGAAAATAATAATAAATATAGATGATTGAGAATACTTCTTTACAATTATCATCGTTAAAATGTCATTGTACACACACCAATCAGTAAACTATTGTTATCTGTTAATTCTAGTAGCTTTCATGTCGACAACAAAAATGAAAGTTGATAAAGAAAAAAGAATATAAGAAATCTAATGAAATTCATCAGTCTATGTATTGCATTATGACATATGCAAGCGATGCTTCTTTAAAACACGTAACAGTAAGAACAATGAGAAAAAAATACAAGAGCCCTTTATGAAAAGAGCCAAAAAAAAAGGAGAAGAACAGAAAAAATAAGAGAAATAAATCAACTATGTTGGTTTGCATTCTTCTCAATGTAGTAGTTCAACTCTTTGCTTATCATAGACAAACCAAAAAAAAAAAAAATATAAAAGAAAAGCGCTACCGATTCTAGATTTCTCTGTTCTTTTCCTTACTAAATAATTGAACTCATACACATGCATCCATCTTCCCGAGCGGCCTAAGTTATAAAAGAGTAACAATCGTAGTAGTTCTGTATTGGATAGTAGTGAAATTAGAATAGAGAGAAGAAAGAACGAGAGACGTGACAGAACAATTGCTCTCATTTTTTTTTTCTCTCTCTCTCTCTCTCTCATCTATATGTAGATCCAAGCAAAGACAGAAGCTAAAAAAGAAAGAGGAAAAAAAAACAGTCAAGAATGATGAGTAATTATTATTGATCGTTTGTCGATACGCGACGATGGGTTGTACAAGTTCAAAGCAAACAGGAACAACGAAAGAAAATACAAATTTAACTCCAACAACAATAATCGATGATGGTCAACAATTAATCAATGATCATTTTCGTAAATGGTTAAAAACTAATCGACCAAAAGCAGATGAATATGTACTTAATGATGTACTATTAACAGCACAACCATCAAATGAAGCTGAAGATTATAAAGTTATAGTTGGCAAAGCACTTGATTTACTTTCTGAACGTCATGATATAAAATCAACAAATAAATTAGGTAAACTTGTACAAAAAGAAATAACATTAGCATCACCAAAAAAAGTTGCACATACAATTGATGTTTTAAAACAAACAGCAGAAAAATTACGTAATGGAAATATTCAGCTTGATTTAGAAGAACAACAACCAACAATAACAACAACAACAACAACAACACCAACTAATGGAGTAAATTTGATTTAATTCTTTTCTTTTTTTTGTTAAATAAATCTAAAATTTTCTTATCTAGATTACTAATGGCACAAATATACCTGAAAATCAACATATACAAGTTTCATCAGGTGAACCAGGTATTGCCTTGAAAGAAGCTTTAGAAAAAGCACGGATTTTATTTTATAAAGTAATCAGATCTTTTTTAATTTGAAATTAAAGAAAAAATTTATTTAAATTTAAGGGTAAACAAGCTGCTATATTTGCTAATCCAAATGGTGGTTATGATGTACGAATTCTTGATGAAAATGATGAAACAATAAGACATGATGGAAATCTTCTTCGTTCAATTGTTGTAACTGAAGTTAAAATGCGTCCAAAACGAACAACAGCAAGTTCACCATTATTTATTCCACCACCACCACCGCCATTACCATCAAAAGTACTTGATGAAAATGAGATTTCTGATGATTTTCGTCGTTCGATCGATGCTGCTCTCAAAGGACTTGAAGCTGTTTATCAAACACCAACAACAACAACAACACGACCACCACCACCAATATTGGAACATATTCGAGAAATACATTTTGATAAAATTACTAAAAGCACACCAATACCTATAGCTATTCAATATGGTGTAACTAATGTTCCTTTATCAAAATCAACTTTAAAAGAAAAAACAACAATATTATCAAATGATATTCCAGATACCATTGATCATACAGTTAATTTAGCTGAGATTATTCGTCAAATGGCTGAACAACAAAAAATTGTTAATGAACAATTATCAAAAGAGAATAATGAAGAAAAAGAACAAGAAATATTTCAAGCTGATATTCAACCAAAACTTGTTGGACTTATTGATAGTATGAATGATTTAATGATGGATACAATTGAAGTAACAACATGTAGTGAAATTGGAAGTCCAATATCATCATTACAACATGATACAATAGAAAAAGTAGTTACAACTAAACCAACTGATGAATCACAAGATCAAATTGAACGTATTGTTAAAGAAATCAAACAACATGGAGAAAAATTTGAATCAAAAGAAAGTCTTCCACCTCTAATTGCAACATCCAAACAACCATCATCTTATTCACTTGGACTTACATCACCCTTACAAAATGAACCAATAATGACATCATCAATAACATCAACTTCTCAACAAAAAACTAAATTACGTAGAGAAAATCGTCCAAAATCATTTATTGCTAATGAAGAAACTCCTTTGAAGAAAGATTTTTATAATTTAAATAAACAAACTTCACTTGATGAATTAGTACATTTAACTCAAACAGGTTTATCAAATCCAAATTTAACAACATCAATAACAAAACTTGGTGTATCAACATCATCAGGAAAAATTGAAGAAGAAGAACAACATCAAATACCAATTGTAACAGCTGAACCATTAACAAAAATGCCAACATCAATTAGTCAAATTATTGAAGAACATCGAACAATATTAGATGAACCATCATCAACAACATTTCCACCACCACCTGTTGTGACTCCTGTTGACACTCATATTAGAGCAAAATCACCAAGTCATAATGTGACCTATACAGAAATAATTCATTCAGAATCTCGAGATGGTGAACAATCACGTCGTTTTATAAGTGAATCATCTGATCAAAATCCATTAAATGATGATGATGAACAAACAACAACACTTAGAGTTATTACAAAATCTGAATTTTCAAATCATCCAACATTAGGTGAAAAAATTATGGAACAAAGTGTACAAGTTATAACTGTTAAAGTACGAAATGAAACAATAAAAACAACAATACAACAAACAACTTTACCATCAACAACTGATAATAATAATACATATGAAAGACGACCGGTTAGTGAACTTGTCAAAAGTTTTGAAGTAGTTGCTGCTGGTAATACAAGTAGTGTTAATACTTGAACTTATTCAATTTTTTTTTTCTCTTTATACAACATCATTTTCGCTTTTTGTTCGTGCGTTTTTATGTCTGGTGCAAGCCCTTCTAGATAAAAATTATCTTGATCTACCATTTAAACAGTGCAATCATTTCTTCTTTCTTTTTGTTTTTAATAATATTATCTTTATCTATTTCGTCTGTGAGTATATGTGTATGTCTATTGTTTGTTTCGTTTTTTTTTTTACACTGACCTATTCATAGGTCAATAGTATATCTCGAAAAAAAAAAATGATAGAAAAGAAAAATAAATATACAGATATATGAATATATAATTTTCGCGCTATAGATTAGCTGATCTATTCAATGAAACAGAAGTGTTGAAAATGTTATCATCAATCATTTATTCAGCACATCTTGCATCGATTTGTTCAATCATATTGCATGACGATGACTACAAACAGAATATCAATGTAATGGATATCGTCTTGTTGATTAAACAAATCCGATATAGAAAATATTGATTTCATCAAATATTTTTCTGCGGTTATTATTTAGTAGTTCGTTTATATAAGCTAATAGAAAGGTTAAATATTTTCTAAACGTTTATGATTTATCAACAGATATAACGAGCTATTTATAACCAATTAATTCAATACTATTGAATTACTAAAACTAATTAAGATAAATAATCTTGAATGTCAACACAAATTTTTTTGTATAATTCACGCAAATCAAACTGTAAATTACAATAATTCAGTATATAATATATTTTTATTTAGAATTAAACTCATATAAATAGCAGTCTTTAATAAATATTCTTCCATATGTTGTATTTATTTTTTAAATTTTATTAACATCTATATGTTATTGATCGAAAAAAATGATGTGGTGTACGAAAATTTTTTCGTTTTTCAACTCTATTTGCTTTCATTAAAGAATTCTTTGTTGATAATGAAGGTTGATTATCATAACTATCAATTGACATTGTATTTTGATATACACTTGTTTGACGCATACTTGCATAAAATTTTCGAGCTGTTTCACAATTTCGATTATTACTTGATTCTTGAATTGATTGAGAAGAATTTTGACATGAAGATGTCTAACAATAAACATAAATTAATTTTTATTTTAAATAACAAAAAAAAAAGAACAAAGATTGGTTGTTTTTGTTTACTTGAACACGATCCGATTCATCAACTATTGAAAATATATCATTTTCAGAACTATTGCTTTCATTCTTATTTCTAATTTGAATAGATAATTGTTTTTCAAGACTACCCATTCGAATACTTCGAACTAATGTACGTAGTTTAGGTGATACACTTCTAGATGGAATAAAGATAGGTGCCCAATTATATGCATTTTCTATTTGTAAGTGTTTATTAGTTTTTGAATTATGTTCTGAAGAAAAAAAAAATATTTTAATGATTTAAAATTTTAATTTTATTTTTACCATTATTTAATTCATTTCTACAACATAATCGATTAAATAAATGACATATTGATGAACCAAATTTTTTTCGTATAAAACATGATATACTAATAATAACTATTACAATAAATAACAATAATATACCCAACCATAATGGATGAAGAAATTCATCATGTTCATCTTGATACTTAGTAAAATTTTTCATTAAATTGAAATTTAATAAAAAAGAAAAGTAATCATATATAACTTAAAGTTTTTTTTTTTTGTATTTTTTCTTTATGAATTCGATCAATCAAATGAGTTATAAATATGTTTATTAAATAAGACAATCTTTATAGTAAGAATTAAATAGTAAAAATATGACGATATTCAATTCGAGTTTATCATTATTGTATAAAATAAAAAGTTTTTTATTATTTTCTTTTCTTTACTTTCTACTAATCTTTCGTATTTTCTTCTATTTATGCTGGATTGGACAAAAAGAAGGAATTTAATAGACCTCGCTATTAGTATTGTTTTTACCAAAAATATCTACCTATCTGTTGAATAGTATTTATCATTGAACGTCATCATGTATCTCATTTTTAGCTTCAAGGTATTGTAAATCGTAAGATTATACTATGATTACTTGATAGAAGATAAAAGAAATTATTGCGTACTTTTTAGTTTTTTTTGTCACGACATATGATATTTTTGACAATATTTCTTCTAATAGATTTGAATATTGAAATAAATTCATTAACTATGTAACTTTATAGATTTTCTTTGTTGATCAATTGTATCAATAATGAATTAACATTAAGAGGATATCATAGATAAGTTTTTTTTTTTTTTTTCTAAGATAAAATTGTCCTACTGGAATATTTTGACATTGAAAAAAATCTAATATTTTATTATTTTAAACAACTATATGCAAAATCATCTCGTAGGAAGTTCATTTATGAAGAGAGGAAATTCTTTACCTTGACATGCAATAAAAATCAAGTTATAATTGACATATACGCTTTAACATACGGAAATTTAAACTTAGAAGTTTTACTATTGCAGAAATTATATTTACTACTGTATGTCGGAATAAAAAAGAAATATAATAAATAAAATAAAACATGCATGTCAATCACTATTCAGATGATTAATAGACCCAACAAATCTTTCAAGTGAATATTGTTATTCAGATATTTTTAAAAATAACATGCGTTTATATTTGTTATTTCGAATAAATGTGTTGTTTTTACACGTATTGATAAATACTTCTTCTCATAAAGTATATTAACAATGAAAAAAGACAAGTCAAAATTTAACAAAGTATCTAAAGTGTTTCAATCTGTGGGTAGTAATACAATATTTTTTTTGCAATTATGAACACCAGCTATATCTTTTTACAGAAAAACAGAAACATCAGATTTTTCTCATCATTCTATGTATCTTATTGATTTACGTTAATTATTTTTAGACTTTAAATATGACAATTCACTAGATAATCAAGAAGATCATTCTCAACAAATCCAAGTTCTTTTGCAATCACATCAAAATTTCATTAATCAATCAATTATTTTTCTAACATAAAGAAAATCTAATTCAATAAATTTTAAACAGAAAAAAAAAAACCATTTCCTTTTTTTGTTATTATCAAAAACTTTTTTTTCAATTCCTAATAAAACATTCTCAGCATAAAAGTTATTTTGTTTTTCATTACATATTTTCAATGAATGATATTATGTTCAAAGTCGCCAGTGTAGAGTAATGTCAAAACGAATAAAAATGATCATGAGAAATGAAAAGAAGAAGAAGAAGAAGAAGAAGAAGATAGTATGTGGATGGTAAAGAATCTAGAAAAAAAAAAGTGAACACTAACTGAAAACATTCAAAACAACAGCGAACATATTGAAATAGACGAATAAACACACATACACACGTACAGAAATTTGAACAAAAGAAAAAAAAAAAAGTAAAAAGATATATCTTCAGATCATTTATAGACTTATCCTGCTGGACAGAAATTAAACGTAGATACACAATAAAGGGACTGTTCAAACACCTATAAATACAGAAATAATTCATATTCGCTAGGCGATTGATGAAAGAAAAAAGATCAGAAATGTTTTTTTTTTTTTGTTATTCTCATGAGATTGAAAAGAAAAAATGAAATACTTTTTTGTTGTTGTTATTACAGTGAAGAAATATATATAAGAATACAAATAATAGAGATTGTTTCGGAACATTTTGTCAAAAAGAAAACATACAAATACGAATAAAGAAGTTGTCTGAACGATAATATAAAGAAAAGAATAAATTCTCTATAAAGACAAGAAAAAAAATGCATTAAGAAATGATAGAAAAACAAATAATGCGTTATTTATATGCAAAAAAAAAAAAAGAAAGAAAATCTGATTAATATTGTTCATCATTATTTATTATTATCTTTGAAATTGATTTTATTCATCCATTGTTTCATTACCACCACCACCACCACCGCGCATTGTTGGAATTGCTGTTGAAGTATTTATTGATGGATTAACTCCAGCTCGAATTGGTTTTACTAGAAAAGAAAAATTTGATAAAGGATCCTGCTGAATTTAGTAACCTATCTTGAAAAAGGATACCATATATGTAGTTTTGTAGAACAATTTCTCATACATCGAATGGTAAATAGAAATCAAGACTTATAAAAATATTAATGTGCTGCAGGTTCACATACTGATTATAATCCTTGGGGGTATATATATATATATGCGGCACTCATAAACTTTGTGGCCCGTAAGATAAATTTATGCAAATTTCTTTTTTAAACTTCATTATTGGTGCTCTTCAACATTCTATAATCAACAGTTTTCATCATTGCTTTCTTTATATCTAAAAATAATCTCTTGTTAAAGGTCTAGGTTATTTCTTAACTTACAACATCCTAGCATGCTCAATTCTATGACATAGAACAAGGGAGTACCAATATAAAACTTTCTCAAAAAATTGCACACTATCGAGTTCTATATGTTTTATAGGAAACATCTTTTGAAACAGCGAAGACTTATTGTCAACTTGCAACATTGTTCCATAGAATAGCCTATTTTCCTATGAGATGGAATCAAGATATTGAAGACATTTTAACAATACTCAATGGTCCTATTAGAAATTTTCATGTACTAATAATCAACACAGTGTCTCTGATGCACTGATATAGATAACCCGTTTATAAATGGAAAAAAAATTTCCAGTCCTCGAATCTCTGGAGGAGAGTACGAGGATGTGAAAAAATTCATTTTTGAAATAAATATAAGATATTTATAGATTCTTCTAGAGTTTCATGCATAAATGGAACCTGGATATTCGGAATAAAAATTCTAAAAATGAATAATAAACATAGCAGACCTCCTTCTGGCAATCATATTTCCGTGCCCTCCAGGGGTTCGAAGGTCAAAAAAAATTTTTCCATTTATAAACCAGTTACTTCTATCAATTCATCAGAGATGCCTTGCTGATTATCAGTACATCAACATTTTTAATAGGACCGTTGAGAATTCTTAAATTATTCTCAATATACAGGGTCATTCAATAAGGAAAATAGGCTATTCTACGGAACAATCTTACAAATTGACAATGAATCCCTTCTGTTCCGAAAGATATTTTCTATGAAACATATACAGCTCGATAGTATGCAATTTTTGAGAAAGTTTCACGTTGGTACTCATTCTGTGACACAAAATTGAACATATTGAAATATCATATAACTTAAATCTAAGAAAAGGAACCACGTTTAAATATGAAGAAAGCAACGATGAAAACTATTGATTATAGAAAATTGAAGAGCACCTATAACTGTATCAAAATCATAAATTACTCTATAAAATCACATATATAGTATTCTAGTTCAAGATAAGTCACCAAATTCGATGACGTTATTTTTAAGATAGATAAAATAAAAATGAATATTCTACCGATTTGTGCTGTATTTGTTCGACGAGCAATATTACGTTGTCTTACAGCTTCTTTTATTCGATCAACTTCACATTGATATCGTTTTCGATCTTTCATAGCACTTTCTTTAGCATCTTTTAATGCTTGTTCAAGAGATTTAACACGATCCATTGTTGCTTTAAGACGTTTTTCTAATTTAGGTAATTCACATCGAAGATCAGCATTTTCACGTACAAGCTAAACAAGAGAAAAAGGAATTTATAAAAGAAAAAAAAAATACCAAAAAAATTTTTACTTGTTTATGAACTTTTGTTAATTGATCGAGATTATTTTCTAAAAATGAGATTTTTTGTTTTTGTGCGGCACTACCACCCAGATCATCTTCTTCTGTTTCAGGTTGTTTTTGTGACTAAATTTTAAAAAAACAACAACAGCGAATGAGTTTGTATTAATTTTAAAAAACAACAAACTCTTTTAAGTCGTGTTTGTAAATCTTGAACGAATAATTTTCGTAAATTATGTAATGTTTGTAATTCTTTAGCAACAGTTTCTTCAAGACCTTTCAAATCTTGTTTAGCTTGTTCGCGACGTTCTTGTTGTAAACTGAAAAAAAAAACTAAGATTATATTTTTATATTTATAATGTTTGTTTGTACGTACGTCATTTCTTGTAATCGACTTGATTTATCTGTTTCTTCTTTTTTCAATTTTTCATAATCACCAAATAATTTTTCATAAGATAATTGTAATTTTTGTAAAGAACTAAATGAGAAAAAACGAAACAATTACTTTTTTGTTTTTTTGTTTTTTTTTGAGAAAAATTTACTCTTTTAAAATTTCCATTTGAGTTTCTTTGGCACGAATTTCATCACGTAATGATGTTAATTGTTTTTGATGTTGTTCACTTATTTGTTCCATTTGTTGACTTAATTCTTTTTGTACATCAGATGTTGAACCAGCTGAATTAGTTACTCGACCTAAAAGAAATTTATTTGAATTATGGCATGAACACAAATATTAAACTGAGAATTGGTCTTGTCGGATTTTCAGTCCATTTGAAACAGAGTTGTAACTAGAGATGTGGGGAGTCAATTTTTTTTTGGTCCTGATCTCGGTCTACAGAAAACTATTCTAGAATTTATTCGCATCAGATCTAAAAAATCTTCATTTAATATTCATTTTGTGATTTATTTGGTCGACGACTAACATCTTTTTCGGGTCATCTCTCTTGACTTATGTTCTAATTGATGTGACTTATAAGATACTTTGCTTAGAACCGCAGAATATTTAACTA